TTTAGACTAACTTTTCTAATTCAGTATTGGGTAAATCTATAGGATTCACATTGTTGTTAAATTAATTCAAATATGATTTATCTTTCATCTCAATCAAATCATAGAACTAATTTATTTATTTTGTTAATTCATCCCAAATTTATTTTAACATATTTAGTGTTGAAGAAATCATTGCTTTAAAAGTCATTCTCGATTTCACTATTTCTTCTGAATCATCAAGCTTAAATTCTTTCAATTTCTTCATAGACAAATCTTGGAATTTTTTCATCGAAACTATGTATTCCACTCCATGCTCATCTTGGCATTCAGGGCAAAGTTTCCTTTAATATTAACATTGATGAGGAGCTATGCAAATTGTTTATAGTTGATTTCGAATATGATGAGTGCAATCCATAATCTTTTTTAAAAATAATATTGAATTTCTATTACTTTATTTGAGTTTTATACTATGAATCAAAAATGTATCTTGCACATTATTGTTTGGAAGAAATATTAATATCACAAAGATTTAGGGTTGATGTAAATTATACTAGGGAAAACTTACAAAGACTTATGCATAATTGGATTCTTAACGAATATAGAATAAAAATAACACAAATAAATATTACTTTAATTATTGAGAATTAATTTTTCAGTTAATGGATTCTATTTATTCTAAATCATAACTGTTCAAAAATATCAATACAAAGAGGTTCCTTCTATAGACAAATTTTTATTAAAAAGTTTTAAGTTACGCCCTCATATACTAGTGAATTTAAAACCAAATTGGCAAGTTTCTTGGAGAAAATACATATACTTTTTCATAATATCAATAATTTGAGTTGAAGAATAATTTTGTTATTTTTTTAACATTATCCATAATGTTAATGAATATCCAATCTGGGTAATTTCTTAATTTCATAATCAATTAATAAAATTAAACTAGTTGACTGATGATATTATATTTGGGTAGATATTAATTAATTTGTAAAAAAAAATCAGTTTGAGGTAAGATTACATAGTTCTTAACTGAGTGATTAATAACTGTTCAGCTCCTTTGGATGTAATTCAAATAGAGCTTATTTTAGATTCTTTGATGGTTGGCAGGGATGGGATAAAATTATGATCTCTAGATCCATTTAGGGGTTAGAATACATATTGATGATTAATATATCTTTTCAGTCTTTTTAATACATAATACTTCTAATATTAATTGAAAATAATAAATAACTGGTTAAGAAAATATTACCAAGATTAGAGTAGAGTAATTTTAAAAATCATTCAATCCAAAAGTTTTAACTTTGTTTCATTTAAGATTATTTCTAAGATTAAGGTTACTTTTTAATTTTTGAAATGTATCTTTCTTCTAATCTATGCTATTAATTGGATCCTTACCTTTTGATAAACTAAAGA